TTTCTTTATTTGCAACATATTTTCTGTTTGAAGTATATCACACGCAGATTGGTATAAGGATTTCTGTTGCAGAAAAAAAAAAAAAAAAAGAAAAAGTTGATTGAATTAAAGCTTGTTAGTTTATAAGGAGTGAAAAAAAAAAAAAAAGCAGTTTGTTTTTTGTCATTTCATCAGAATAATTTGAAATTTCAAAAGACTTTATTTTTCTTCTGCTTTTAGCTGATAAATTCAATTCAATTCAAAAAAAAAAAAAAAAAAGCTTTTTACTCTATTTTTTTTTGTTGTCATCTCTTTTAAGTAGCAAAGAGCAGCGGTAGCAGTGGTAATATCAGCATTTTTTTTTTTTTTCTTGTCATTTCTTTACTAAAATTCATTTATGATCATTTATGACTGGGGAGAGGAGAAGGAGGGTGAACAGTGCAGATATGTCCGTGTAATTTGTTTCAGCTGTTGTCAACCATGCATTTTTTTTTTTTTGTTCTGTTTCAATCTCTCTCAACAACAATTTTCTTCTCCGCTCCATTTTTTCTGCTTTTTTTTTTTTTGCTCCGGTTTGCTATTTATTTATTTATTTATTTTTAGATGTGCTCAAATACTTTTAATCTTTCGGTTCTTCCTATCTTTTTCAAATAAAAAAAAACACACACACACACACACACAAAACATCAAAATGATGTGAAGCATAATAGATGGAAAAGAAAAATTTGGGGTTAACTTTTGTTTAGCGCAGAATTGTCTGTCCGTTTAATGGTTCTGATGATGAAAGAAGAAGCATTAGCAACAACAACAACTCAAATTTTAGTTATATGTCTATGTATCCATCCATGTTTTGCAATTGTTATTTCAAAAGAATTAGTTTTCCGTTTTTTTTTAGTTTTAGTTTTCATTTACCTCTTATTTAATCAATTTTTTTTTTCTGTTTTCATTTTTTTTTTTTTTATTGTTAAGAGTTTGTTTTTTACTTTAACATCTTCCATTTTTTTGTTCACTTCATTAAATTCATTTTTAGATCTGACTTTTTCTTTTTTTTTTTTTGTATCCTTTATGTTTATTTATTTGTTCTTTAAACTTTTATTCAAAAATAAAAAAGCGGAAAAAAAAAAGAGTAACAGTTTTAAAACAATTTTTTTTTTTTTTGTGACGATTATTATATAACTGAATTGGATGAAACACATCAAATGTGTTGTGTCACTGAATGTTGTCGTCAAACATCGTTATCGTTTATTCATTACGCACATTTGGTATCTAAAAGCATCTGATCAGTAGCAAAAAGGAAAAAAAAAAAGGCAACAGCTATTAAACAGGTATAGCATTTAGTCAGTTAGTTAATTAGTCAGTTAGTTAGTCAATCATTATTCAACAGCTAACTAATATTTTCTTCTTTTTTTTTTTTCATTCATTCCACTTTTAAATTTTATCATTATATCTCTTCACAAAACTTTCTACTTTTTTAACTTTCTCGTTCTCTGTATCTCACCCTTTTTGTCCTCTCTCATTTTCTCCCTCTTTCTCTCTCTCTTTTCCACTCTTTTTTCTTTGTATTTTTTATCCTTCACTCTTCCGCCTGTTATTTCATTCAGCAAACGAACTGATGTGACAAAGTAGCGGTAGCTAAAGCAATACCATTGGTATTATCAAAGGAGGAATGCTGCTACTGCCGCTGTTGTGGTGTCAAATGATGATTTGAAAGAAGAGGAGGAAAGAGGAAATAAGCATAGAATCTGGCAACAGTTAACTGATTAAACGTATAATTATTGGAAGTGAATTAGGTAAAATGTCTCGGTGACAAGAAAACCGATATTAAATGATAATTAAAAGAATGAGAAGTTGACGGGTAAAAAGAAAGATATTTCTTGAACTTTTACAAAAAAAAAAGGGCTTATTTTATTGCTGTTTTACATTTTCATTTGCACTAATTTCAAAAAAGAGGAAAAGTTCCGGTTTGATAGGCATAAATTTACATTATTAACACCGTCTGAACAACAACAAGAAAAAGCAACAACAACAACAACAGCAACAGCAGCAGCAGCAGCAGCAGCAAAAATAAGAAAAAAAAGTCTGGTGTCTTTTAATGTTGTTGACTGACAGTGTCAAAAATTACTGAAGAATACAGAAAAAAGCAAAGAAAAAAATTAGATAAGGTTTTTTTTTTTTTTTTGCTGTTACATTTTTATTCATTTGTGCAATTTAAAAGTCTACTTATCTTTATCTAAAAAAAATTGCTTGTTCTTCACATTTTAACAATTATAAACTGTTGTTGATTATTTGGTCTTTTTTTTTTTAGTCTCTCTTTAAACTGTTGAGCAAAGAAGAAAGAAGTGACGACTAAAATTGACACAATGATAAAATAAGTGTTGACTAGTGTTGGGACAACTTGTACCCCTTCAACAACAAATATATCATCATCTTTATCGTCATCATTTTCATTACTATCATCATTATCGCGATTAACCATCTGTCTTTGTAAAGAAACAGAAAAGAAAGAAAAAAATTGGAAAAAAACTAGAGGAATAAGCTATTAGCTGTAGTTTAAACTGTTATCATTTGTCATAATCGGGAGGGGTTTTTTTTTGTTGTTTGAAACAAGGGAAGAAAAAACATTCGCTAATTTTTTTTTTCTGTTGTCTTTATCGTTATTGTTATTATTTGTAAATATTATTATTGTCAGTTCTGATTTACAGAATAATCAGTGATAATCGTATACAAAATAGCAATCCGGGTATTTGTAGTATACATGGAGAACGTCATCGATTACCATCATATACCTATACAGCAATGGTGGAAAATTTTCCACGACGAAGTTCTGAACCACAGTTAGTTGTTTTTCTGATTATTCATCTATGTGTTTGTGTGTGATAAATATACACTTTGTTTAGGACAAATTATATTTGGTTGCTGAACATAGACACAGTAATCAACCAACAAATACACATATATACACACTTACACATACAGAAAACCCATATAAACATACAAAATTGAGTTACTTTGATTTAAATTTCTACTCTTTTCTTTTCAACCCACTCACTGTACGTTTGACAAAAGGAAAAAACTAGAAGAACGACTTTTTTTTTCCTTTACAAGAAAAAATTGAACTATGAAAAAAAAGGCTTGTTATTTGTTATTGTTAATGTCAGTGACGGTGCCTGCTTAGTGTTGTTGTTTTTGTTGCTGTTTTTGTCGTTGATGGTGTTGAAGAATTGAAAAAAAAAAGCCTTATGAATTCAATGACTTTGAAGGAGTAACAGTAAGAATATGTCATCATCGTCACCGTCAAATATGAATGCTGTTGGTGGTGGCTGTAGTAGTGGTGGCAATACCGGACGAATGTATGAGAAAGCTGAATTAATTGAAATGAACGAAACACGAGTTAAGTGGGTCAGGGAAGAATATGGATGGGAAAATTGGTTGAAAAATCAGTCAATTGCAATACTTAAACTCGATCAAACCGAAAGGCTAATTTTAAGAATTGCAGGTTTGTTATTACTCTTGTAGCTTTTTTGCCTTTTTTTTTTTTTTTTTTTTTTTTTTTTTTT